CCCTCTCTCTCTCTCTCTCTCTCTCTCTCTCTCTCTCTCTCTCTCTTTCTTCTCTCTCTCTCTTTTTAAAAAAACTACTGTTATATAAACTTATTATGTACCATATATGTTTCAACTCATGTAATCCTGATGACAACTTTGTGAGGGAGATGCTGTTATGATCCCCATTTTACAGATGAGAAAACAGAGAAGCGGTGACATTCCCTGAGGCAGTTTTGCCCTCTGGCTTGTGGTCTTAACCATTGACTAAGATTGGAAGTTTTTAATCACAATTTGCATACTGTTTTATTGTTTATCTGGACTTTCCTAATGATATATTAACTTGGAATTTAACTGTATTGTGTCTTTCCTGGAAAGTCAACTTTTTATGCATTTATTTATTTGATTTTTTTTAAGTTGTAGATGAATACAATGCCTTTATTTTATTAGTTTATTTATTTATTTTAATGTGGTTAGGGTAATAAACCCAGCACCTCACGCATGCTAAGAAAGCACTCTACCACTGAGCCACCTCCCCAGCCCCAACCTTTTGTGCATTTAAATAACATATCTGGCTATAGTGGTATGACAGTGAAACAGTGATAATATCTTCTTTAATTAAATATTGATTTCTTTCAAAATTTTGCTTCTCAAGTTTCTTTCTCTCTAGAATGCATTGTCGCTGTTTGTGGCACATTTTGAAATAGTGTTGTTGACTTCCTTTATAAAGAATTTAATAATGGCTATACTACTAGGTTACTTTTTTTTTTTTGTATTGGGGGTTGAGCCCAGAGCCTCATGAATGCTAGGCAAGTGTTTTACCATTGAGCTATATCCTCAGCCATATTAGATTACTCTTACAAAATTAGGGACTTAGCTTTATGGTGGCATTTTTGGAAGCTTCTGAGAACCTTAACTTTGCCCTTTAAATTCCAGAATGAATTCATATATTCAAAATTCCAATATTCAAAATTCATATATATATTTTAGTCTTGTAATGTGGAATAATTTTCCAGGGAAAATTGGAATCTGAAGTTGATTCTATTCCCTGTCAGTTTGTATTTTCTTGGTACATACAGTAGCAAAAAGCCTTTACAGAAGGATGCAGTGCTCAAGGGGTAAATGTGACCAGCATTCTTTGTCCTATTACAGAAGGAGTGGGAAGTCCAAAAGTACTTGACTGTCTCTTTATTAAATTATTCTCAGATGAGAATGGGTGGTGGGGGGTGCATTTGAACTTTGGCTGTAGATGTGGTTCTTAATGAAAAGTTTTGTAACACAGGGATTAAAGTAATTTGTTTCTTTCTTTTTAAAATTCTAGGGGAGGATTATGAAGATGATGACCTAGTAAACTCTGGTGAGGTTATGAAGAAACCATGTCCAGTACAGATTGTCCTTGCTCATGAAGATGACCATAACTTTGAGCTTGATGAAGAAGCTTTGGAGCAGATACTGCTACAGGAGCACATACGAGATCTTAACATAGTTGTGGTATCTGTGGCAGGAGCTTTTCGTAAAGGGAAATCATTTCTGCTGGACTTCATGCTTAGATATATGTATAACAAGGTGAATAGTGTCTTTTAAGTTGAACCTTATCAAAACAAATAACTGCCAACCAGTTATTGAAAAAAAATATATATATATATACATATAAAACAAGTATTGTTTCTTTAATTTTACAGAAATATAGTTCTTTAATTAGACTTCTCTATTAAGATAGTAATATAAGTTTGAGCTCTTGATTCTTCTTTATCTCTGTTGTTCCTTTTGGGACATAATACATATTGATGCATATGCTTGAACCTCTATATTCTAGGCAGTGTAGTACTAGTCCAACATGTTTGAGTGTATCCTGAAAATATTGGAAGTACTACTTATCTTGTCTTCCTTTTTATTATTTCTTCACTTTTTCATCTTCCTAGATACTTTTACTGTTAGTGAAGTTTTCTGATAGAGACCTTTGCAAAAGTATACTTGTGTTTCTCAAATAAGTCACTTTTAGTGAATAAAGTCCAATTCCTTAGAGTAGCTTCTATGGCCTTCCATGGTATCTGAGCCTTACTGCTTGCATCCTTACATCAAGTATGCTGTAGTGTTTGCTCTTCTCCTAGTATGTCATATTATTCTCATATCCTATTCTTTGCTAATCTTTTCATAGTAGGCCTTTCTTGATGTCTGAGTTTGTTAATTCTCTTCCCAGCTCTCATGGCACGTTTTATTAATATTACTTTAGTTTTCTGGCTGGTTTACCTTTTTGTTAGTGGTGGGACTTACATTGATTATCCTGTCTCCAGTACTTAGTGCTACTGTGTGTTGTTGATGTCTGTTTAACGGATGAATCTCCCTCCCTCTACACACTTTTGCTTTTAGATATTTACTGTGTTCTCCCTGACTTTGACTTTAAAAGTCAAACACAAAACAAAAAATAAAAACCACTTGACTTAGTGTTTTTCTAAAAGCTGGAGTCAAGTGGGAGGGGTTAAGTTTTATTTTTTTTATTTATTTTTTTTTTTTTTAGGAGAGAGAGAGGAGAGAGAGACAGAGAATTTTTAATATTTATTTTTTAGTTCTCGGCGGACACAACATCTTTGTTGGTATAGATCGG